AGAATCAGGCCAAAGCCCCTGTACTATAGTACAGGGTCATTGGCCAAATTTTGCCAAAAATGACTAGGAGAGAATTTTCTATTTTATTACATTTTCTGATGCATATACATGTGCTTATGTTGTGTAGAAAGTTTGAGCTGATTCCGATCAAAATTGGATTTTTTACGAATTTTTGATGTTGCTGCTATTGGTTTTTCTGATGTTTATTAATTAATAATTAATATTCATTAATGGTTATTAATAGGAATGATGAGGTCACAGAGACGTCACACGAGCACGAAACTGAAGATGAAGCCCCACCCACAGACTCCAGTCCATTCACAAGCCTCTCGAGTAAGAGCACAATGGCCACTGCAATATCACTGCCTAAGCAAGATGAAGAGGAATGGACCAGCACTAAGAAAGAGAGTACTAGTACTAATGTTAATAGCGAGACTGAGGGGGAGAAGGGCATAGAGATCAGTGCTGAAGTACATATACCATCTAATGAGAGGTAAGTACATGTACATGTACATATGTACACTGTACATGTACATGTACCGTATAGCGCAAAATTTTCGAGCACTATAAATTTTGCGGATTTTGCAATTTTTTTGAAGATTCTGGAAGTTATATTATTATGGTACAAGATGGCAGACAGCATAATCCAAAAGTAGATTTTTGGACAAAATTTGCGAAATTTATAGCCCTCGAAAATTTTGCGCTATACAGTACATCATTATTTGGTAGATCTAGAGGTCTAAACTCCCTCTAGATCTACCAGTGTACATGATAATTATTTATTTATTTATTTATTATCTTCTCCTAACAGGCAGAACAGTACAACGTCCACTGCTCCCTTATTAAGTGGCTCTCCTCCAGCTACTTCTGATACTGATGGCCCCTCCACTAAGGAATCCCAGAGTACCAATGGGCCATTACGTGTAATGGAAAAACTAGAAGAGGAAGAGGGCGTGTCAGCTAAACCGACCAATCAGATTGAGTCTAATAGCGAAGACGGTGAAAAGTTATTGGTATCGGACACGAGACCAACAGATAATGAAAATTAGTCAAACAACACTCTCTGAGCACTCAATCATAAACTATTATGTAATAATAAAAAAATACAATAAAATAAATAAATAATAATAATGAAGTACTAATCAGTGTTATTGTTGTTGTTGTTGTTAAATGTTCTAGTGTGAAAGCAGTCATTTTGTCAGAGATACAGTATGTTGTAGCATTACTTGTTGCCTGCTCCACACTTTTTAATATCTTTATCTTTCTCTGTCTTCGTGTTGTCATGTCAGTACATCAGTAAAATTATTGTTAATTATGGACAACTCATTTTTGAACTGTCTCTCATCCCTTCCTCTCTCTCTTTTTCAATGGATAATTTTAACTTGTTTCTCTTCATTATATAATAATAATTATTATTAAATTTATCATTATTTAAAACGCATGTTACTAATAGTAGAAACATTTAAATATAGAAAAATCAGCAATCAATTTATTAGTTGCTAAAATTAATAACGATAGTAAGAGTGTCCGTCTTAAGGTGAATTTGGTGTTTTCCCTTGAGACGGTGAGAGGTGTTCCTCCAGTAGTAATCGTCCATTCTCCCCAGCCAAATTACAATAATACCTCATTGAGCGTTTCATGCCAAGACTATCAGCATATCGTGCATATTCTAAAAACACTGCCTCGATAAGCGAACCTATTAGTTAATGATGAAATATTAATAATAATAATTATTATTAATTTACTAGTTTCTTTATTTCTTCTCATCAGTCTGTATTCTAAACATGATTCGGCAAAAACAGCTGCTAAATTAAAGTATCTCATACTAAAATCAAAGAAATGGATAATAAATTAGCAATTACAAAATTACCTGTACAACATTTCGGTAACTTTAACAAATTGACCGAGCGACAAATAGACAAGAAGAGCCTTTTTCTTTTAGAAAAAATCAACAAAAATAAATAAATATTAATTAATAAAATTTACTTTTTGATTAACAGAAGATGATGCTAGGTGCTCTCCCCATCTCATAATCACTTCTTTGGCTTCTCTCTCGTTGAGCGTGCTCTTTGCCAGCCAGACTGACATGTACCATTGGCCGTAGGTCTGCATGTACCGACAGGCGTCTAAACCTTTATCAATTAGTGCCAGCAGCTGAGCACCCTCTGTAGGGAGAGAGAAAGTGAGTACTAGCAGCATATATGTATAGCAGAAAATTTTCATTGAGTGGTGATTTTTGCTTGTTTTGTTGGCCAAAAGTTTCAACAAAAATTTTAGACAATCAAAAATGGCTGGCTAACAATTAATAATTACTGTTAATACATGAAAATAAAATTAACGAAAATATCCTGTAAGACCTGTTTAAATGAACAATGAAATTTTATGGCAACAAAAATTTCCTGCTGCATGTATATGAGGTATTAATAATTATACCGTATACACCATATATTCGCAGGGGATTGAATTTTGCAATTTTTGCACTTTGGAAAAATTCACAAAATAGCATGCTGATTATAGTAAGTGTATGGTAATTACATGTACATTAAAATCGCAAAATCTTTATTTCCAAACACAAAAATGCAGCCAAATTGCAAAATTTTATACCCGTGAAATATTATAGTGTATACATGTAAGTATATACATGTATTGTATTTACATGCACGTACCTGATAGCTTGTTGTTGGCAATGAGGTTAGTTGCTACCAGTTTTATCGTACTTTGAGAAGCACCCGATGATCTTATCGTAGCGGCAAGACATGCTCTTTAATTAGAATAATAGTGGGCGGAGTCAATTTAGTGTGGACTTACTTTAGCGCGTCAGTGTAATAATCAGAGGATGAAGTATCAGTTTCCAGTAGCAACTGTACAGCACGATCGGTCTATGGGATACAACAATGGATTAATGTACATGTACACGTACAATTGTAGCTTCAAATTTGTCGGTCAAAAGTTTCATCAAATTCAAGAGGGGGTTTTTTTGACAAAATTATCAAGGTTTTTGACGAAATCTATGACTAACGTAAATTACTGTGGGTACATGTAGGTAGGTATACAAGGCAGTATTTTTTAATTTAATACTTGTTTTAAGAAGAGAAGTGTTTCTGCACAGTGTCTAGTCTGGCTTAAAGTATGTCGTCTACCATCATGACAAAGAACTCTGTGCAACTGATAATACTAAATGAATAAATGAATGATATTATGTAATGTTTAATTAATAGTTTCATACTTTATAAATATCTTGGTCCATGAATAAATCGTAATTAAGATCAAGCGGCGGAGTCAACTGCCACGTTCTTTGATTTGATTCTTGAATTAACGTATCGGATGAACTCCGCCCATCATCTAAAAATAATTAATTGATAAACCACACCCACTCCACTCAAAACCGCACCTTCCAAAAGGTCTTCTAACGAGTTCCTAAGAGCTGATTCAATATCAGTGGATGCATTAGAATCAGGTTGAAATAAATCAGAATCATCGTTAGTATCAGGGGCTGACGAATAATGGTATTTCTAATTATAAGGATACAATGAAATATTGAAATGTGTGCATATATGTACTTTATATTGTGGGTCTTGTAATCGGCTCTTTTCCTTTATCATGTGGTACAGAGCGGTCGTCCAAAACTGCATCTCAAATTCATCACCCAGTAATCTATTAATAGAATAGACCACACCTACCAGCCAAACCCACTTACATTGCTGCTACTAATGAGCGTTGAGGAGTCCCTAGTTTAGCATTGAGTAAAGAATCTCTGAACCGACTAACAATAATAATGATAAAACATTATTTATTTAATTACAAAATTAATTGATAATACTTTGGTAGTGTTTTTAGTAGTGTGGCCACTCCCTTTTCAATCGGATCACTTGAACTATCGGAAAAACTGAGAGAAAGAAAAACATGTACATGTACATGTACATGTACATGTACATGTAGTGTATGATGCTTAGTTATTAAATATACATGTACATGTACATGTACATGTACATGTATTTTGTAGATATGGTGCATGACTCATGTTTTCTTTGAATGACATCATTATTTTAACAACAGCATAACACAGCATTATTATATGTTAGATAACCCACAAGAAGTGTAGTATTAAGTATTAAGTGAATGATAAATATACTAACTCAAACTGGTCCAGTGTGTATTCAATATTCCATGATTGGTGCTGGAGTAGACACTTGAATCTAAACATTGACTGAGGGAGTACAATGGACGGATTGAAAACTGTCTCTAAATGAAGGAGGATAAATATTAAATAATAGCAACCTACATACACACACAATTAAAAGTGTTACAATATTTCAATGATTGATTATAATACCATGGTAGTCTGACGGGTTATAAGCGGTAGAGGAATAGATAAACTTGACGTCAGTGACTCTGATAGTGCCGTCACTCATGAGGCATATCAGTTTATCCGAGGAGCACCAGTCAAGATCTTCAACTGAGAGGTCACCTTTAGACCATTTGTACTGCCCTGTGATATCATCCTACAGAATAATCAATAATTGTAATTTAAAGACACATGTACATGCAATAAATACATGTATACAAACACTAATTTACATGTACTTACAATAGACAAGTGTACATGTATTTCAAATAAATACTCGTCGGAATCAGCTCAAACTTTCTACACATCATAAGGACATCAATGTGTATCAGAAAATGTAATAAAAATTTGGGATAATTTCGGAGCCATTTCTTGAAAAAAAAACCATGGGCTATAGCCTTGGGTATTTTTCAGAATTTTGGAGTTTTCTTAAAATGGCCGTAACTTGAAAAATTGAAGTCGGAATCAGCTTGAACTTGCTACATATCATAAGGATATCAATATGTATCAGAAAATGTAATAAAAATTTGGGATGATTTCGGAGCCATTTTTTGGAAAAAAACCATGGGCTATAGCCTTGGGTATTTTTCAGAATTTTGGAGTTTTCTTAAAATGGCCGTAACTTGAAAAATTGAAGTCGGAATCAGCTTGAACTTGCTACATATCATAAGGATATCAATATGTATCAGAAAATGTAATAAAAATTTGGGATGATTTCGGAGCCATTTTTTGGAAAAAAACCATGGGCTATAGCCTTGGGTATTTTTCAGAATTTTGGAGTTTTCTTAAAATGGCCGTAACTTGAAAAATTGAAGTCGGAATCAGCTGAAACTTGCCACACATCATAAGGACATCAATATATATCAAAAAATGTAATAAAAATTTGAGATGATTTCGGAGCCATTTTTTGGAAAAAACCATGGGCTATAGCCTTGGGTATTTTTCAGAATTTTGGAGTTTTCTTAAAATGGCCGTAACTTGAAAAATTGAAGTTGGAATCAGCTTAAACTTGCTACATATCATAAGGATATCAATATGTATCAGAAAATGTAATAAAAATTTGGGATGATTTTGGAGCCATTTTTTGGAAAAAAACCATGGGCTATAATAGCCTTGGGTATTTTTCAGAATTTTAGCCTATTTCTTAAAATGACCGTAACTTAAATACTTAAAGTCAGAATTAGCTCAAACTCGCTACATGTATTTACAATAAAATTCAAAGTAAAATCATTCATTATATATGTGTACATGTACACATACTTCTTTCATGTTGATTTCTCTGATGTCAAGTCGATTGTTGTAAAGTACCAATAACCTCTTGTTTCCCTTGCCAGGCCCAAACTTCATCTTTTTAATCTGCGACTTTGGAGTCTCCAAATATCTAAAATAAAAATAATAGAGAGAGAGAGAGGAGAGGGAATGGTCTGTACTTTAGTGACGAGGCGTTGATATCCCATAGAATTAAAGTACCTTCGGAGTCACCAGAAACTAAAGTGTCTCCTTTCCAAGACATAGCAGTGGGGGAGCGTAATGCAAACTGGAGGAGGAGAATAAGAATTAGTATAAATTGTTGTTGCTGTTGTTGATGACGCTTACGTTTTGTGATGATTGGGGTCCGAGTTGAAAGCCAGCTCTGTCAACAGTGATGTGATGAATGTTTGAATTAGCATCTATCAATGAGAGGATCTCTTTCTCTGGTAGCTACAAGAAATGAACAAATGTTATACAACAGCCTGGTTTTGGAGCAACTTTAAAAAATCATAAAAATATGATTTTGATCGGAATCAACTCAAACTTTCTACATAACATAAGTACATGTATATGCATCAGAAAATGTAATAAAAATAGAGAATTCTCTCCTAGTCATTTTTGGCAAAATTTGGCCAGTGACCCTGTACTATAGTACAGTTACTCTGGCCTGGAATACACAATGTACCTTTGAAAATTCAATTTTGATACGCAAAATTTGGCCCAAGACCATGTACTACATAGGAACTCGTTTTCCCGGTATAGCAAGGCTGCAAAAGTCGTGGCAGCCATTTTGTTTGGGGGTGAATCCTACTTAGTAACGCTACCACGTTACTAATAGTACATGGTCTCGGGCCAAATTAGGAACTTTGGCCCAATTTTGAGCAACTTTGAAATTCACTTTTGAAGTTTTGATTGAAATTTAGATCAGCATGATCTCAAAGTTAAAACACATACATGTACACATGTACATGTATGTGTGTACATGTACATACATGTACATGTATCACAATCAAAAAAATCTAATGGTAATGTACTTACTTGTGATTGTTTTATTGTCTGAATTGATTCTAATTCAGTTTCTGTTTTATGAGCTGGTGACGATACTCGCTGATTGTGGGGGTGTGGCTTAGGAACAAAGGATGAAAAAGCACTGACATTAGCCCATTCCTAAAAATAAATAAACAAACAAGCAAATAAATAAATTAATAAACAAATAAATAATAAATAAATAAATATTAATTAAAGAGTTTACGGACCACAGCTACAAATGAAGCTGGTTTTGATTCCAAAGACCTCATAAAGGAGAGAGTTTTAGCATTATAAAACTCTGGGGGCGTGTCCTTAATATTAACGACAAAATAATTCCTACAAAAAATCAATAATAGTTATCAATCATATTAATAATTAATAATAATACTTGTGCGTTGATATCCTGACACCAGTTATTGGCTGTACATAGTTATTTTCTCCTTTCTTCAATTGATTAACATGTCCAGTGTCTAAACTAACAGCGGCTAGCTCATTACGAACGAGGCCATTTGAGTTAGGAGGAGGATAGGCAAATGTAATTAGTGTATTGTGATTCAACCACTCTATACCTCTAAATGAATAAATAATAATAAAAATAATAATAATAATAATAATAATAATAATAATAGCTAAGTATCATTTAAGTATCATTTAAGCTAAGTATCATTAAGTATCATTTAAGCTAAGTATCATTAAGTATCATTTAAGCTAAGTATCATTTAAATATCATTCTACTATCATTTAGGTATCTTTACTATCATTTAAGCATCATCAGTTAAGCTAACTATCATTTAGTATCATTTCATTATCATTTAAGTATCATTTAAGTATCATTTAAGCTAAGTATCATTCTACTATCATTTAGGTATCAACATCATTTAAGCTAAGTATCATTTAAGTATCATTTAAGTATCATTCTACTATCATTTAAGTATCATTTAAGTATCATTCTACTATCATTTAAGTATCATTTAAGCTAAGTATCATAATAATAATAATAATAATAATAATAATAATAACAATAATAATAAATAACAATACAGTAATTAATAGCAATAAATAATAATAATAAATAATAATGCAGTAATTATTAATTAATAATTTATTTATAATTAAATACCTCACAGCACACGTATGTACAGTGATTTCTCTGTACAACTGCCGAGTGGACAAATTAACAATCTGGACTCCGCCCGTACCGTTGCCGACGGCAACCAGGGGTTTATAAAAATGCCAATTTTTGGTCGTGAGAGGCGGACACATCTTAAGTACAGTGGGAGCAGAGGCCAGCCCGTAATAAATATTAGTAAGAGTCATGTATGGAGATACTAGTGTATAAATATTAGTACCTATAAGATAACAATGATAATGATAATAACAATGATAATGATAATAACAATAATAATTCCATTCTTGTGGTATGGGTTTCTCCCTTTTCCTAATTTTCTCTCTCTCTCTCTCTCTCTCTTCCAATTCTTATTTTAGTAATAATAATAATAATAATAATAATAATAATAATAATAATAATAATAATAATAAATAATGTTTAATACTAACCATCAGATGGGTTAAACCAGTGTGGGGCTATAGACTGTGATAGAGTCAATCCTTCACAAGATGATCCAATCGGTCTGTCCCCTCCATTAGTGACAGGCAATGCACTGATGAGTGATAGAGGGGAACCTCCCTCTTCCCCTCTTCTCCCATCATACAGACCCATACACTCAAACCCAACGTCCCAGAAAAGAAGTTTACCCTCTGAAGTAAGGACACTCAGCTGTAGCTCGGTAGTAGGGCAGACAGAGAAGGCAAGTGGCTTTATATTTTTACTAATTCGCTGCGGCTCTGTCAAATAGTACAGATCATAAGTGACATCAATAAGCTCTCTAAAGTCGGCCATTGTTAGCGTATGTGTGCGGGGAAACTCTACAGGTTGACGGACCCGGAAACTAATACTCCCATTCTCATGGAGGCAGTAGAGGGCGTCCCTCTGTTGGCATGGGAAGAGTTGAAGGAAAGGGGCAGTGACTCTCTCAAGGTAAATGGACCCAATGGCTTGCATTATGTCCGTATCAATGATGAGGACTTCACGAGAGTAGAGTAAAAATAAATGCGAGCGACAAATTGGAGAAAAGGAAACTTGGAGACAATCGGACAAACTAAGACTATCATCATTACTAAAAATAGAAATATAGATACATTATAAAAATTTGAGTATTAAGTACTTTAAACTTTCATCTGATAGTAGTCTACGTGGTGCGTCCCTACTCCACCCTCTCCCTCCCCCTCCTATGGACTGGTGGTGTGGTACGTTCATGTACATCTTCTTACTAGTCCCTGAGGTGTTCTTTGGTGGGTTGAAATCATTTATGAATATGAAATAATCAGCAGACAGCACTAAATGAATGAACACATGAATACAACAGGTCACATAATGAACACTGTTAGATCTAGGGGGAGTTTAGGAGACTTTTGGTCTCTCATATTTAGCCTAGGTGGCCTTAACCCCCCCCCCCCATTTTTATTTTGATTGGTCTCTCAAAATTTATCTCTAATTCTAACAATGTACATGTACATACTTACAGACTAGCTGGTCGGGTGAGAAATGGTTGAAACTAAATGATAGAATATTCTCAGCAAAAGTAGTCCTGCTTATTCTGGTCCCAGTGTCAGCATTCCAGATACACATTGTACCAGGAGACGTGAATATTAACAATAAATCCCTACAAGTGTCCTAGAGACAAATAAATAGATAAATAAATAATATACATAAACATATAAATAAATAATAATAATAATATTAATAATATAAATGTATATAAATAATATACATAAACATACGTTAGTGGTAAGCCACTGTATATCAACCAGTGGTTTGTTTCCAATTGAAAAGTTTGAGATGTGAGTTGCTTGTCCAACATCCCAAACTATACACTGTCCATTAGCATCCACTGATGCCAGCCTAAGAATATATGGAGAGGCCAGTGTGCAATGATGGAGCTGTCTTGACCAACGAACCTACATTGCATGAATTTTAGATATACTGTACATGTGCATGCATGTATTTAGTATTAACAAAATACTTTTATGATGTTTGTGCTGTGTCCGTCAAGCGTCTGCAGGTTTTGCGATGTTCGAGGATCAACGACAACAACATACTTACTGCAACCAAAAGCAACAGGTCCAAGCCAGCTCCTAGAAGAGAGAGAGAGAGAGAGAATTACCAGCCACACCCTCCACACCACTTACCAATCCAGTGCCGTCCTGTTTGCTGGCTGAACGGGACCACACATCACCTGAGGAGTTACTTTAACGCCAGCTGGAATATGAGGAGTCCCTCCACTCATGACGGGATGCTCTTTCAGGATCTCCTTATCAATTCACAATGGAAGGTTGGGTATGGTAAAGGGTTAAAAATAAAAAAAATGACTCGTCGAAGGGTTAAAATTATTAATTTTTTTAGATGCTCAGCGTTGTAGTGAGAGATTTAGGAAAGATATGCTACAGATCAGCGTTGAATATACAGATGGAACTAGTTACTAAATATAGTAACAGAGAGACCAGTAATGTATTCATACTATTTTATAACTATGTTTGATTATGTCATATCTATGATTATGTTCACTAGATCATCTCTATGTACATATATATTTTGTTTTACTTATTTATTTCACTTTATCCTTTGTCCTACCTTTTAAAGTTATTACTATTATTATTATTATTATTATTATTATTATTTTTATTAAAATAATGTACCTAATCTGTTGTTACAGGATGGGATGATAGGTGAACTGTTGATATGCCAACACGACCCTCCTGTGTATACACTGGGACTGAGGGAGAAACTGTCAATAGAAAATGAAAATAAATTGAGAGATTTAGGAGCTGATGTTGTCAAAGTAAATATTTACATAATAATTATTAGTACTATTTTAATAATAATTATTAAATACAATAATTATTATTTTAATGATAATATTCTAGATCAGAAGAGGCGGTTTGATTACTGTCCATTCGGTAGGACAGCTGGTCTGTTATCCGGTAATTAACTTACACAAAATAAACGTGAGAGAAACAACTACTTTAGTCTATTATTGTCATCATTATTAATTTAATATACCATAGGTAGGTGTTAGAAATTACGTTAAAGGATTAGAGGCCTCTGTAGTAAGGACTTGTACTGAGTTTGGATTAAATGCAATTACTAATGAACATGTGGGCGTATGGGTGGGAGGAGCTAAAGTATGCGCTATAGGTAATTAATTATTTATAAGGATTGATTGACTGATTGCCACCCACACATTTAATTAGGTATTCAGGTTAGTAGGAGCGTGTCATTTCATGGTTTGGCATTGAATGTATGCAACGAGTTGTCTTGGTATGAACACATTGTGCCTTGTGGTCTTAAAGACAAAGAAGTCACAACAATGGAGAAAATATTAAACAGAAACAGTAAGAAAGAAAGAGAGAAAATGAAGATTTATTTCTTTCTCTTATATAGTTGTTGTCCAAGATGTATCTCCAGTATTAATTAAACATTTAACGAATCAATTCAATTTATCATTAAAATAAAACTATTCTCTCTCTGTCTTTTCTTTGCATTTCATATACATATTGATATTTTCATTAGATTTCATTAAAAGATCAGTTAAGTGAGCCTCAGCCACTCTAAGTCTATCTAGTAGTATATTCACAGGGACATTGATGGTCCTTGAACAATGATCGATCAGAAACTGCTCAGACTGTGATAACGACAGCTGCTCCAGTGGCAATACATTACTCCTGTCAATCATTACTGGCTGATAGAGTCTACTGGATCTTCCAAGTGATTCTAAATTCAAGTCCAACGGTATCCATCTTGGAACAACGGCCTCAGCAACCGTGTGAACTCTATCGCCAATCGTTATAAACAGTTGTCGCTTATTTGTTACACTTGCTGTTGCAGTTGCTTCCTCTCTCCTTCTCCTCTCTCTCCTCTTGGCGACAAAGTTCCCAAATAATGACTTAAAATGGCCTCCTTTCTCTCCTTGCCTAAGCTGTCCCGTATTGACGTCCAAGTTAAACATGCCGAAATACTTCTCCTTGCAACTTTTCATGTAACAAGACATGTCGTCCAAATGTACCAAATCACTATAACAGAAATAATTATATCAATTATTTATTAATTAACTAACTTTTGTGATGGCTTAATGTCAGTCTGTATTTTATTATAGCGTTCCCTGGTCACCATAGCAACCCAGTCTTCCCAAACATAAGTATATTTCGATTTATCAAAATCCTCCGAAGAAGACACAGACTGTTCTCCTTGAACTCTGAAAATGAACACAAGACGATAATTGATGTTCATCTAGTTATATCTATTACCTTTCATAATTATCATCCAATCTATAAACTAGTTTCATTAATATAATGATATTAATAATGACACCAACGTCAATCAATACGTACGGGCCCATGTTTGGAAGAGTTGTCTCCTGGTACAAGTACAGTAACCTTTTCAAAGGAGTCAATAAACTATCTAAACAACAAGAAGATAAACAACAAGAAGATAGATAAACAACAACAACAACAACACAAGAAAAAAAACAATTCAACCTGGTAGTAGCAGCTTCTTGAGTAGTACTGTGGCCATTTTCATGACATCAAGTGGTAGGAACTGTAAAGCCAGACTTGTCTTTACATGTGACAATGACCTTGAGAATTCCTTAGGAAACAATGGGGACTACGTGAAATAAGACTCCATTAATTATTACTATCAATAATTATACATTATTATTACATGGTTCTCAGCAATTCTCCTTCTCTGGTAAGTTAGCATTCTCTTAGTGAGAGCCTTAGGAAGAACAAGATGCCATGAGTAGTAAGGGATGACATCTTCATACACTAGACTATAATAAGGGAAGGAGTATTAAAATATTAATAATAATACATAGTTGTGCATGCTAACTTTATAAAGTCATTGAGAGGTAGGTAATTATTGGAATAAAGTAATGAGAAATAGAGCAAGGCAACTAGTGTCCTCTTAGATATGAAGGCGTGTTTATTTCGCATAATCTTGAATGATTTTTGAAACAACCTATCCAGTTTACTGGAATCATCAGTTAAAGATAAATCATAATAGTCTTCATCACTATCCTCCCCTTCAACCTCTTCTTGTTGCTCTCTCTTCTTTTTTGGTGTTCCTCTAGTTCTCCTTCCTTTCAATATAACACGATACAATGACTTGAAAGATATGTTTGATGAACTGCTAATACAGGACTTCTCCATAGTGTCTACTTTATTGAAAGCACTTAGTTGATTGTAGAACAGATATTTAAGAAACATGAACCATAACAGTTTAGCACAGGCCTACACGTACATGTACGTACATCAGGAAGAGATGAAATACACAGAAGGGAGTTAGTTGTTATACTTCAATATCTTTCTCACAAAATTTCTCTTTACTGATACGGTCCATGTATAATTTATAGATGAATTGCCAGCTCTCATAGAGTGAGAGAGTACAATCCTCTTCATCTTCCAGTGACCTTTTTGGTACTAATAATGAATACTATAATAGTGTGTGTGTGTGTGTGTGTGTGTGTGTGTGATGTAGCAGCTGTACCTTTTCTCACTCTTAATTTATTGTACATTATTATACTGGTAGGATCATCCTCAGTCATCTCATCGTGCATCACCTAAACATAAGTGCATGTATAAGTGTAATAAAAATGGAGGATTCTCTCCTAGTAATTTTCGAGCAGCTTTAAAAATTTGTGAAAAATTCAATTTTGATTGGAATCGGCTCAAACTTTCTACACAACACAAGTACATGTACATGCATCAGAATATGTAAAAAAATGTAGATTTCTCTCCTTTTCATTTTAGGCAAAGTTTGGCCAACATCCCTGTACTATAGTATACAGAGACTTTGGTCCCATTTTTAAGCAGCTTAAAATTTTTTTTTAATCCAAAGTTGATTGGAATTAGCTCAAACTTTCTACACAACATAAGTATTATATATATATACATACATGTACTCAGAAAATGTAATAAAAATAATTATTTTGGCAAATAAATTTCTCTGTTTATTCTTTCCAAAATCAGCAATTACCTGTGATTGTGTACCACATTCAAGGCAGTAGTAATGTCCATCTTGATTCTCATATGAAGTGTTACCACACACAGGACAAATTTCTTCCTTAGAATCCATTTGACATCACACGTGATGCTGGGCGGGAAGGAGCGGCTGTACACACGTGCCTACACGTGTCCAAAATGGCTGCCGACAGGGACTGCGATTTGAGCTCACTTGTAGAAGATTTTGAGCAATGGCAGAAAGTGCAGCATGTACTTTTGATATGTATAATATTTTATTTGTGTCCCTAGATAACTTTTGAGCTGTTTAACGAAAACAAAGAATTGAAATCAGAGGTTAGCTCTCTCAAGAAGCAGTTCAGCCTTCATGAAGAGGCAGAGAGAACCTTGAAAGACAGTAAATAATGAGACATTCTGTCAGTGTATTCCTCTCTAATGTATACAGATAATTCAGAACTGCTATCAACTGTTAAGAAACTACAAGATTCACTAATGCAGCGATGTGAGATGATCAGTGAGAATAGCAAACTTAAGGCAAGGCTGGTAACTCAGTATTGTAATCTTTGTAGACCAAAAGTTCTGCTAGTTTTCCATAAAAATTTTACTCTTTTATTAAGCTGTGGCAGGCAAAGGTGCATAAAATCCGCAAAATGAATTTTGCTGTCTAACTTGCAAAAATTTTGAGCCACAGAAGTTTCTAGCTATGCAATAGAATGTATAGTTTTATACTGTTTGTAAAGGAAAGGATGGAGAGACTGCAAAGAGAGACCAGTGAATTGGAAGCACAGCACAAAGACCAAATGAGAGAAGCTATGGACAATCTTGAAGCAATCAAAGAAGCACACAAAAAGGATGTTGTACATATACAAGCAGTCACTTCTAAAGAAAGTTAGCCTATATCGGCTGTTTAATGTTAGTTTATTTTCCTACTTTATAAAGTGAGAAAAGAAATTGATTTACTTCAAAGGAACTTGCAAGAGAAATCTGAGGACATAAGTGCATTACAAAAGCAAGTAGGAGATGCAGAAAGAGATAAACACACTGAAATAGTCAAACTAAGACTAGAGGTATACATAAGTGTTGATATACATAAGTGTTATCATCAGTGTTGTAGTATGATGCGAAGCTACTAAAGATACAAAAACAAACTGCCAAATCACAAACTCAGACCTCTTCTTCAACCACTCTGACTAACAACTCTATATTCAGACAAGTAATAGTAGAAGCAAGCAACTATCAATTACTGATTCGTATAATGTTGCTGTATAGAAACTGCAGGCAGTGAAAGTGGAATCAGAGAAGGAAGTAAAGGCACTGAGAAAAAGAGTGCTAGAACTTGAGAAAGAATTAATGTCTAAGAACAAGCAAAGAAAACTACATTAAATTATGTATTAGTAAACAGTAATAATTAATAATGACTACTTATTAAAATCACTAGTTAATTGTCGAAATGCTTTGTAAAAGGATTCTTTATTTAGTAACAGTACCGAGCGATGAGGTGAGAACACTTCGTCATCAAAACTCCACCTGCCACCTTGAACTGTATCATGGTCAGAGGACACTGAATAGTTATGCTCAAATAAAGACTCCTAATAATAATAATAATAATAATAATAATAATTTACAATCGTTACATTAAACTTACTTTTTTGAAGTACTCCATTTCTGGAAAATCGTATATTATATTATTAGTCTTTGATTTATTCTTTTGACCTTTTCTCTTGCTGGAGCTTTCGGAGTCAGTCAGTGAATGTGAACGTGTAATAACAATAAAATGAGTAATCTATTAATAATAATAATAATAATACACCACGCAACATACATTACAAACCAACTTTAGAAATATTAGCCTCAACTTCATCACTGAGAAAAAGAGAGAGAGAGAGGAATACAGTAATATTAATTGTATGTGTACTGCTTGTAGCAAAAAAAATGCTAAATTAATAATATTTTTAATGAATGGTTAAAGTTACCATATGCTTGACTTACATTAAGCAGTTAAGGACAGGTGGTCCAATGTCAGGTGGTATATTTAGAAACCTCTCATGTAGCACCACACCTATCAGGTACTGTGGATCGGCAGAAAGCTCTTTAATCTTCTGTGCAAGTTTTGAAGTAGAACAAGCATTCATTAAATATTCATATAAACCACTCTAAAAAAATAAATAAATAAATATAATATAAATAAATACATGAATTAATTGATTACTTTATCTTGTGGTAGTTGTACTAATGTTGTTATACCATACACATTGTCATCTCCTGACTCCTCCCCTGACTCCACACCTTTTACTGACTCCTCGTCCTCTTCATTATTACACGTCTAAATATAGCAATAATATACTAATAATATGCTGATAATATACTGATACTTTTATTAGACTCCCAATATTCTTTTGCTGTACAATGTATGAGGAAAGACTAGAGACATCTACAGGTGCTTTTAAAAACAACTAAACAATAATGATAATAATAATTCCGTAATTATTAAACGGACTTGTTGTAGCAGTCTCCTTATCCCGTGATAGTCAGTTTCTTTTATTTCTGTTCCTTCAAATTCTACTTGAATCTCCTATTAATTTTAACCCACAAAATGGCGGATATATGTCAGACTAATATTACCAAATCAGATTCTACAGAACTACTATCATCGCTCGAAGATCCTTCCTCTTCCTCCTCTTCTTGTAAACTGAGATGTTCTTCTTCTCCTTCTTGTTCAAGTTTCAACTTCTTTCTTTTGCTGCTCATTATAGTACCACGTGTAATAACATTAATAAAAATAACTAGCTCAACCTACCATGGATATTAAAAATCAAATTATTAGTTGAGCTCCGCCCATAACTAATGAAGGAAAAATGGCACTTTGCAGTGTACATGTAAAAGGTTACATTCTTTTGGCGGGATTGTTGCTGTACATTATTGTGTGCATGTATTGTATTAGTAATTGTTGGACTCTTACTGCACAGGTATAAGAATGCCATGCATTAATAAAAACATCCCTTTCTCTAACTCTTTCCCCCTCTCTCTCTTTCCCCCTCTTTAGATTGACGCCTTCTCCCCTGGTTTATGCTATTATGGTATGCTAATGTCCGCTGTGCTTCCGGCCTTCTTTACATTCTGCTTCTTCAATTGGTTGAACTATAAACTATTCAAACACAACTAGCGCTATCAATGGTCATTAAGTTTTATATCACCCGCCATGTCATTTGTACCCTAATAGTTTACATAAGAACATGATTACCCTCTTATCATAATAAAGTGTCATGTTTCAGTGAGCGGCTCCTGTTTTTGCATTGTCTCACATATACTCCGTTAACATTATACAACTAAAAAACTCTTTAATGTTACAACGGACATTAGAGAGGGGGAGAGAGGAGAGGGGTCATGTCTTGTTATTCCATTTCTTTGCATAGCTGTAATGCACACTTGAAGACTTTGTTAGGTTAGCATGTTGAGGAGCTTCTTGTAGAGCCTCTAGTGATTCATTTTACGACATTGCAGAATGTCATTCGTGACATGTACATGGACCCTGGAGGAAAAAAATGAATTTTGAGGATCAAAAGGATTTTAGTGCATAGTTGCAAATGTCTCTCTTAGCAGGGATCCTTTGCCCAATAAAAGTTCAGAGCATTTCCAGAGGCACCACATATTTTGATCAGTTTTCTCCTTCTCTTTCAGCCCTTACCTGCACTGTGACCCTACTGAAGCCAATATGAGCTCAGTTTTTACAAAGCCCTCCTCAGCTACTAACTGCAGTATTCCTCCTCCTCCTGTTGATAGCACAGAGAAGCAAAGCTACCAACAACAACAGTGTTTTACTGCTTCTTCTTCAAGTAGCCCTTCTACTCTATCTCCTGGCCTCCCTCCTGTTCCTCCATTATCAGTCCAGCAGCACTACAGGGCCTATTCCTACTATCCTTCTACTTGCATACCAACTGTAGCCAAGTACAATCCACAGCATCTTTCTGTGCCACCTCCAAGCAACATAAGGTAACCCTTAATCCTCCATGCCTTGCATAATAAACTTTCTTTTTCTTGCAGAACTCACTTCTTTCATACTTCAGGAGGACAACAAGCAGCAACTGCAGCAGTTGGTTCTAGTCTTCCTTATGACAACAAGACTCTGTCATACTCTGCTAGCCAATACACTAGCAGTAATACCTATAGCAGTTCCAACTACAACCTAACAAACAAAGTTGCTGCAACACTGCTACAGTTGCAAGATCCTGTACTCCATTCACTGCCTGGCCCTCCTTCAGGTGGCTACCATCCACCACCACCACTCAAGTTTGTTCCAGGCCCACTGCCTCATACAACTGGTGTTGACCATGAAGGAGCTTCACCCTTAGAAGGTACAGCTTCACCAACTCAACCAACCTCATACCAGTCAGCTGCCCAGTTCATGTTTCAAACTGGATCTGCCTTCCCTCCCTCCCCATTCCCCACTCATAACTCGTCCCCATGCTGGAGTCACTCCCCCTGGCCTTACATTCCATTCGGTACTCCTCCAGTATCTGGTGCTAGTCATTGTCCTAGTCGTGGGACAGGGGGAACAGGAGTAGGTACCCAAAGTAGAGGAGGAGGAGGAGATAATAAAATCAACTCCTGCCATGTTTGTGGAAAGACTTATGCACGTCTCTCCACCTTGCGCTCTCACCTCAAGTCTCATAGCGGAGAGAAACCTTACCAGTGCTCCATATGTCAAAAGTCTTTCACTCAAGCGGCTAACTTGACAGCTCACCTCCGAACGCACTCTGGAGAAAAGCCGTTCAAGTGCCCAGTCTGCCATCGAGGGTTTTCGCAGTCCTCGTCCGTTACAACGCACATGAGGACCCACTCTGGGGACCGACCGTACAAATGTAACGTCTGCAATAAAGGGTTTGCCGATAGCTCTACGCTCACCAAGCACTACCGTACTCACACTGGGGAGAAACCCTACCAGTGTAAGATATGCGAGGCAAAGTTCTCCCAGTCTGGAAACCTCAACCGACACATGAGGACCCACCGACACCATTACGGCAACGGTATGGACATGAGGCGTATATAGACAAGAAGAGAAAGGAACTAGTCTATAGAGAGACATTAGTTAAAGATAGAGACATTAGTTAAAGACACATACTCATACACTTATAGTTAGAGCTATAGTTCACTGTTAGATACCTTATCACTTATTGACATGTGTATATTAGTTGATGGCTATGTTTCCATTATCAATAGTTGTCTTTACTATTCTCACCATTATTGTACTCCATTTAGCTTGTAATCCAATTTGGCAGACAGCCATACTTGCCAGTCCAAGAATTATAGTACATACACATGTACAGTGTAGTATTGCCTGCTCGTGCATGTATATTGGCTGATTGGATTACAGTGTTTATTAACCTTTTAAAACTGCTGAGAGCTACTGCCTATCATAACAACAGAAGTAACTGATAGTTAATATTGAAAATTGTGATCATTAGAAAAAATAAAACACAAACTATCATAAAATAGCAATAAAGAGAGAGAGGGGGGGGGAGAGATAAATTGTTAAAAATGATTAGTAAGTCCTATTAAATCTATATCATGTAATGAGTGGATGATGATTGTGATGAGCTGTTTGAGTACAATAATGCATGGACATGTTAGAATGGGAATGAGGAGACACAGGTGAGTAGTGTATGTGTGAAATGACTGATGAATAATGATTGGAAATGAACAATTGACATGTATAATCAGGAGAGAGAGTGAGTGAGTGAGAGGTGAATTTTACTGTCACAAAAAGGATAAATACATTTAATTTTAAAAAGCCAAAATACCTCCAAAATGTTAACTTGTGAATGGTGGATTGCTTGTTACTGGTGGATATGAATGAATGTGATTAGAGAGGTAGAGAAATGACACCTTCCTTTGAAGATGTCAAGATGAGAGAGCAGCTGTAAATGGTCGAAGAAGAACTACAACACAGGCAGATATTGCAAGCACGCTAATTAAGACAGAAAGCAGGCGCCTAGGGGTTATCCACTAGACAGCTGCTAACTGAGCAGATAGCTGGTTATTGTGGGTCTTCATATGACGATGAAGGTTGCCAGATTGGGAGAAACCAAGATTACATATTTTACACCTGTAAGGTTTTTCACCGCTGTGTATCCTCTTGTGTTTAGTGAGAGTCGAAGTATCAGCGAAACACTTCCCACAGTAGTCGCAGCGATACGGTCTTTCGCCAGAATGAGTTCGGAGGTGGGTTGTAACGGACGAAGACTGAGAGAACCTCTTTTGGCATATTGGACAGCTGAAAGGTTTCTCGCCGGAATGGGTCCTCAAATGTGCTGTGAGATTAGCTGCTTGAGTAAATGCTTTGGCGCATATGTCACACCGATAAGGTTTCTCACCACTATGGGTCCTCATGTGAGTCTTTAAAGTAGACGGACGTGCGTAGCTCTTGCCACAAATCTGACAAACATTGTTACCCTTACTGCTAGAGCGTCTTTGCTTTCCCGGAGGTGGAGTTGAAAATATCTTATCGGACATCGGGCTACTGAGATCGGGAGGAGCAATAGGAGTCCCTTCGGCGGAGCCCCTCCCGTCATTCATGTGGTGTATGTTAGGAAGGGACAGAGACTGAAAAACTGGTTTTATATCTTGAACGAATCTTCCATCGTATTGTCTACAGCCAGACCTGGTGTCGAACCCGATCGCTGTCACAGTACCAGGAGGAGAGCCTGTATCAGAATGAGAGGGATGGAAACCATGCTTAAGGGTCTGTAGTAGATCTACAGGAGAAGATTGACCATCTTCTTCACTCCCTGGGTTATTAGTAGTAGTGAAGCCGTTTAGTTTAGAAAGGACGGAGAGAGAGGAGGAGGAGGAAGAGGTTGGAGTAGAGGCCTGAGGAGTGCTTGATCCTGAACTAGCGTTTAACTGTAGCAAGGCATTAGCAATGTCTCTCTGGTCCTGCGCTACTGAAGGTCTACAGAAAGAAAGAACAATAATAATTAACGTTATGATAAATAATGACACCATTGTTCTCGGCTAGCTCTCTCCTCATACACGTACACTAGTAAAAGGCTGGATAAACTTATAACAGATTCTTTGAGTAGGCTGGCTATTTCAGAGACTTCTCTAGCCATTATCCTCCCTGTATCTCTCTTAGAGACAGAGAGAAAGAGGAGAGTTGTGGTCGCCAAATAGTCGGAATGTTTTGCACGTAGATTATTAGTCTACGACCACGCATATCCTTGTCGCTCTGTTTTTGCAACATGACACCAAACCTTACTCCCTCCTTCTCCCTCTCTCTCTGCACACACACTTACTTCTGGTCGAAATGGTGAGGATATTGTTGATATGCAACGTCTAGTGGGAATGCCTGGTGTCCTGCAGGTCCCTGTCCTGGAGCAGCATGGTGGCCGGCTGATGGTATAAAGAAAGGATGCGGTCCTGGCCCGTTTGCTGGAGACATTTCTCCTGGTCTTCTTCCAGCAGCTGCGGCAGCTGCTGCTGCTGCGTTCACATTGAAATACTGTCCAGGGAAGATGTGGGCTCCATGGGGGAATCCAGCAGTCATGAAGTTAGTCATCCCTGTTGGTACTGATTCTGGTATATAGGACATAGCCATGTGACCTCTGCTTGACTGTACTGTTTGGACTGTGGTTGCTAAGGACATACTAGGCTGTAAAGGATCCTGGCCTATTGTTTCTAGCTTGCTTCTGTCTCTGTAGCTGAGCAAGCAAGCAAGGGGGCTGCAGTGAGCTAAGGTAGTGCTTCTCCTTATCTTTATGGCTTCAAACACTACTCCAAAGTTTATTCACACTCCAATGCCTTCTAGCGTGCACTTAGCCGGCTGTACCTCACACCTGCTGTATGTACTGGTCGATGGAGACTGATAGCTGTACTTTATATCTTGCGACCTGCTCTAGAAAGAGAAGAGAGATGGAGCTAGAGGTAGGGGAGGCTGCAGAGACCAAAGAGGACCTGTAGGACTTTACTAAAGCTGTTTAAGTGAGCTCCAAATATGCCCTCCTGACTATTAGCATCATAGACTGAAGAGGCTTCCTTTATAGTACATTGTGGTATTACGGAGATATGCGGAAACCAACCTCGTACACGCCACTTAACACTACTTAGAGATTGGACAATACATGCAATAATAACTTTATTTGTTGTTAATACCATTATTATTATTAGTAATATCATAAAATGATAAAATTAGAAGTTTAAACATAGCAATAAGAAAAGGAACATATTATTATTACTTATAATAATAATAATAATCATCATAAATTATTGTTGTTGCTATTATTATTATTATTATTATTATTATTAATAGTAAAGCAGTTACATGTATATACATGTAGACCTATTCCCGCTAAAGTCGAGAGCGAGAGCGATAGCGCACAAATGAGGCTTAGCCTGAAATGTACAAAGGATCATAATCAGGTTACCAATGTATATTGAAAATAAGATTAACAGCTTAAACCAAATATACTTAGCAGTCTTCAGTCACGTAATTACATACATGTAACATGTACATTAAACATGCACATCATCAAAAACTCATTTTAATCTAGTTCATGTATAGTATGTGGTCATCCACTATAAAGAGACTAAGGTACATAAACAGAGCCCTTAAGAAGCATGGCCTCTCACCACAAAACCCTTCCGACAAGTAGCGACCAATTAGATTGAGCTCATCTCCATGGCAACGACTAACATAAACATAGCGAAGGGTATTAGTACACAAAATCCTTCTAGGGAGTCTTGGAATGTCACATACGCTGAGAGAAAGGAAGAAGGTATAAGGCACACTTTAAAATATTTTAATAAAAACATAAACAAATTATTGCAACACATAGACACTAATACTGGACATGGTAGAGTGATTGATGATTATAGCTTGAGTGGAAGGCCAATAAAACAGAGGAACTATGTTACACAGTAATCTTTATATTGAAAACTACTCAACTGCGTCATTTATCAAGTGATATAATATTTTCATTACTCATTGAGGACAATTTCTAAATTAGTGTTCAAGAAGTGATTATTAATATATTGACACATCAATGGCTTCAGAAATGGTAAAGAACTAATTAACAGAAAATGGTGACATAGCCTAGGAATCACCTGACTGTAGGAGGGGACACAGACCCTTTAACATAATGTACACACTATGATGTATAGTTACACCAACTTAAATATACTTCTAATGTTAGTGCACAGTACTTAAACCCACATTAATTAAACATGAACATGTAGTACATGTATAATTTACTAGTACATGTATAATTTACTAGTACATGTATAATTTACTAGTACATGTATAATTTACTAGTACATGTATAATTTACTAGTACATACTAAACAACACTCGTGTACTACACAGGACAGAGAGACACGTTCAATCTAGCCAAACCTCAACAAATACATTCACATGTATACATGTACAGTTACATACACATGTACATGTACATGTGTACGTGCACATTTGTTATTATCATATAGTAGTATGTGGTGATTGTGGTATAGTATATAATATTATGTTATACTAGCACCTTTAATATAAGGCGACCACTCTACCAGCTGTCAGTGTAAACACCTGTAACATAATTATAAAACCCTCTTCTCTCTCTTTCTCTTCTATGCATGCACATACGTGTACATGTACATGTACAATGTACATGTAGCTGTAGGTTATAATTATGCTAATGCGTTAGACACCATATACCAAAGGCTACAGTAGCAATTAGAGCTTCATGATTATATTAAATAATAATAAGTATAAGAATGATAATAATAATAATAATAACAAGACAATGGCAGTAACACAAAGGGTCTGTGTAAACTAGTGCTGCTGGACTGAAGCCTGTAGGAACTGATTGAGAGAATAACTCATGCATTGAAAGGGTTTGGTACAAGTGCTAAAACAATTATAATTGAAGCAGTGACAGGTGGTGGAGTATAATAACAATATTTCACAGTCTTCAATTAATAATTAGAAAATAAACTTGGGCTAAACACAGATCCTTCATAATACACAAAATACACATACGCACATATAATACAATATTAATAATCCTCAATAATACACGTACAACATAAATACATATACAGTATAAATACATGTACATAAGAATAAATGTATGCATGTATATATAAATATATATATGCATGCAGTAAATGCTATTAATTAGATTTGTTACATGAATAGCAATGTGTACACTTAACAAAGAGAAGCTGACCAATTCCTAGTAAAGGTAACGGATAATATGCCATAAACAGCAGCCAAAGAAATTGTACAATAAACACGTAGGAACATATGAAATGAGAGAGAGCGAGTTAGAATGGGGAGGAGGGAGAGAAGGTAATTGGAAATTGCACGTGCTGTTTATGCAAATATAAAATTCCTAAGCTTTCGTAAATCCTCAAAGGCCAGAGAACGTCAGAAATGTTATTCAAAATGTTCCCACAGCTGCAACATGTACATGTACGGCGAGAGATGAGAGGAACGCTGGCCCCTTTGAGTTTACATGTACATGTAAAGGTAACTGTGGCAACCATGTTGATCATGAGTAAAGTGCGAGTTGACATTTCACAAAATGAAAACCAAAAGAAACCAAACCAACAGGAATAAATAATGAAGGAGTCCTTATACATGAAGGCTGCACCAATCAATGTCATTATACAGGAATTATCCTTACACATTAACAACACTGTGTCATTACTTAATAACAGCTAGTGCTAGAGACATAATATCTTTACATCTTACATTTACTTGCTAGAAGTACACATTGCATATAGTCCATTGCATAAGTACATTCTACATACAGTATCAGTACTGTATTATACTGAAAGGACTCAAAGTGATCCTGGATAGTCTTAAGACAACAGTAGGAGGACTAGGGAGACAATCCCACACAAACCAGTACCAGATATACCACCATATAGTGGGCACTGGCCCAGCCCAACTGTATACACAGTATTGATATCTCTATAGAAACTTTCCATTAGCCCAGGGCAGGTCAGTGCATCTTTGTGTCAACATTACTTTAGTTTATAATGATAATAATAGTATGGGATCAAAGCTCAGGGGCATTAGAAGAGGAGGGGGGAGAAGGGAGAGAGGGAGGGAACAGAGAGGAAAGAGCTAGGTCTAAACTATCAGTGACAAGTCTCTCATGAGTTATATCAACTTCATTAACCTTTCCAATGGAAGAATGAGCATCATCTTGCATAACAGCTCTTTCTACAATAACAATGACATTAAGAAATTTAATATGTACATATATTTACCCGATGAAGCTGGTTTCTTACTGGACAATGTTCTCCTTCGCTCAATAGGTTTATCAACACTCTCATCATTACTGCTTGCTCTATTGTTCAGCACTATAAGGACAGATAGAGTGTTGCATAATGCATCATATACTAACTTTGTTTATGCTTAAGGATATCCTCAGCAGTACCTACAGTCCTCTCTACTTGTCCCTCTATTGAAGACACATATTCATCAATACTAGTCTTTAATAACGGACAGAACGCTGGTCTACTGGTGTAGGGTATGCCGGTGAATGGGTCAGTTGGAGGACGTCCATTCATAGTGTCCAGCTCTATTGATTTATCCACAGTAGATTGATCCACATAATACCCTGATGGTAGCAGAACAGGTAGAGTCATTAGATTATGTGTGATGGAGTCCATGTATTGTAATGGAGGATCGGCTAGTTTGAGTTCTTTATTAATTGGTATCTCCTCTTTCTCTCTCTCCCTCTTTCTCTTCCCCCTCTCCTCCCTGATGTTACTGTTATAAACTAAGGGGACTGCCGGCCTGCATCTATCACATCCTGCTGTCTCTCTATTTATCAGTAATTGCTTAAAATCTTCAAATAATTTACAAGGTCCAATAGTGCTGTCACCATGTCTCCGGTCATTCATTGGTAGTTGTGTCCATAGTTCAAGTGACTTTATCAATAATGGTTTATGACCAGTCCAGTGCAATATATTAATATTAATGTCACTAGTGATGACTCCTCTACCAACATGGATAGGTGTAGATATTGGTAGAGGAGGAGAGGATTGTGATACATTATTTACTGTTAGTCTTTGGCTGTTGGTATATTTGGTGCATAGTTCACTGCCAGGAACCGCCTCAGGTAAGCAGACACTATCAAGCTTAGTTGGGTCACTGAAAACCAACATTATAATTGAATTAATGTCTCCTTCATCTCGCCTTACACTGAATGAATTCTTAATGGCCCGGACTTCTTTTGAAGTACCAACAGTTAGTTTTATAATGTCATTAATATCTAATCTTAATTCTATCAGGATATACAGTAATTGCAAGGGAAACTTAAATTGAGCGGAAAGCATTACAGGAGACCTTATAAACCTCTCCAGCAGCATGCCCTTGGATCTATGGGCCCTCTCCATGGAGAACAAGTTACTCATACCATATCCATCAACTGTGAGGCTTGAGGTGTGATAGGACTGGAGTAATGGATCATACGCACTGTTAATTACATCAGCCATATATAGAGCTTTATTTACTAGCGTAATAATGTAGACCTTTATTTACTAGTGTAATATATAAATCTTTATTTACTAGTCCTCAGGTATAATCAGACGGTAACATGAGGTGTGGAGACCATGAGAAGAAGGCAGTAGTGGTTACTACAACTAATAACCACATGTGGTAGAGGACCTATATTGAGAGAGAGAGAGAGAGAGAGAGAGAGTAAAAGAGAGTGAGTAACTGTTGATATTAATAATAACTGTAGAGTATTACTAATAGTATAGGTACATGCATTTAAGAGTTTGTGTGTATGTGTACATGCGTTGAAGCCTTATCTTGGTAATATGTACATGTTCAGCGTTACATGTAATGAGAAAGAAATGAAAAAGATGTAAACAAAGAGAATGAGAGAGAGAGAGAGGAGAGAGGGAAGAGTGACAGAGAGAGAGAGACATATATATATATAAGGAAAGGATAAGTGCATTTTATAAGGTTTCTGACACAGTAACTAATATTAAGAACTCATTATAGTAACAGGTTACTATATACTAATAATTATTGACTATATGCTTTACCTTTTATAGATAATCACATACACACTCACTCACCCTCTCACCCTCTGACTCTGTCAGTCTCACAAATAATGTAATATTTGTAATCTAATCAAGTCTGACCACTATCTTCTACACATAGTACATACTGTTATCACAACCAAAAACCAAAATACATTATTAATTTACTGGCACACTTTAATTAGCAGAGAGAGGAAGAGAGACCAAAATGATAGTAATATAGTGCCTCAAAGTTTAAGGATAGAAACTTGTACAAACGCAGGGGTAAGCTTCATAAACTAGACCTAGGTCTTACTCTAATTGCATTTAAGAAATATACACTGTACATATAACATGTGAATGACTCTACTTTTCAAAATTTTTAGATGAATCTATTCATAATATGGTAGTATTATTATTATCAAGAAAAAGGTTGTTATAATGAGAAGGTTATGACAATGAGATGAAACTGATAATCCTCCACACCTGCTAATGGATGGATATGCACTTAGTGAAGCCACTCCTATTAAACACACTAAGGATATTCACGAGATACTAATGATATTCATAAGAGCACTTAAGAGCAGGTAATGATATTCATAACTTTAATTATATTCATGGAGATCTCAATGATATTCATAGTGTAATATAAGCCAGAGGGCGGGAGGGAAGCAGGTGCTAGTCATTATTGGCTTCTTAAGTGGCCTTGAATAAGGAGAGTGTGTGCTACCGGCCATTGAAGCCTCATGGAGACTAAACACAAGTCAAGGCTAATGATAATAATAATAATGAAATAAAACAGGCTATAAGAAAAAACAACAACAACATTAACAAATGCAACACGCAATCACTTGATGATTCAATGACAAATGCAAAAAGTAGTGAATAACTAAGTATAATCTACATGTAAATAAATAAAGTGAATCATATCCTTCATTATCAGGCAGATATCAGTAGGGAAAATCCTCCAATTTGCCACATTAAAGTAACCTGCAGACTGACAACATCAGAATACATAAAGTGTATAGATAGATACAGCATAGCCTCCAACCAGTACTTAAATGGGCTCCGAAAGACTGGATTGTTAGGAAGACACCAAACTTCACATAAATACTTGATACCATATCAGAAATAATAATAACAACATGACTGATGCTCATTATTAAATTTTAAAAACATCGGAATGTACATTGTACACATACAGAATATGCAACATGTAAATACGATACACAGCGCCTGTACAGTACATGTACATGTGTGTATCGAAACGAGGGGAATATTATCCTGTCACTGACTAATCTATTAAAGGTATTGGCGCATTGCTAGCCTTAAACTACACCTGGGCACTAACACAATTAGGAAAACAGTCAAAATATAACAAGTAACAAAACAACATCATAGAGAGAGAGAGAGGGAGAAAGAGAGGGAGAGTATGAGAGAGAGGGTGAGAGTAATGTCCATAGCAACAGAGAGCCAGGTTGGTTGCTAAGCAATAGATTTTATAGTACCAGTTAATTAAAAAAGCCACTAGCCCTGCCTTGTTCTCATGGAGTATAATGAGAACCAACCACTAAATGTGGTTAAACCACAGATTATATACTGTGGCTGGTTGACCATTAGCCTACTATACTACCTTACTACTCATAAGCAGCTGATGAAACCATACTTTTATACCTCTCCCTCTCTCTCTCTCTCTCTCTCTCTCTCTCTCTCTCTCTCTCTCTCTCTCTCTCTCTCTCTCTCTCTCTCTCTCTCTCTCTCTCTCTCTCTCCCTCTCTCTCTCTCTCCAGACATGTGCTAAATGGTAGCACCATTTTAATATAAATATCAGTCATACTGCTAATAGAACATTCCTTATAATTGTTTCAAAATAAGGCATTCTCTCTTTATAGGTAATAGAGTACAAAGCAAGTAATGTTTTATTGTTAATGAATTACAGTAATCAATACAAGATAATTATTAACCTCTTTCAGTAGTCAAAATATCTCCTACAGAGAGAGAGAAAGAGGGAGAGAGAGGGGGAGGGAGAGAGAGAGGGGGGGAGAGAGAGAGGGAGAAAGAGAGAGAGGAAGGGGAAGGAGTGAGAGAGAGGAAGTGAAGGAGAGAAAGAGGTTTCAATGATGACACTATTATGGTTTTATATAAGTACATGCACATTATAAGGAATCAACTGCAGTCAGTAAGTTGATAATGAAGAATAGCTCCAGGCAAATTGTAAGCCATATAGATGTATACTGAATGCATGCATGTATAATAATAATAATGGAATATGGCATGAAATAATAATTATAAAATTGGTTAGTGTGACATACAATAATTGAATTATGTGGTCAGACAAGATTAACTACTATGACAGGTGGAGGGAGAGAGAGAGAGAGAGAGAGAGGGCAACGTATTTTAAGAATTTTTTGTTAGTTTTTCTATTAATTTGTTACTTTTGGCAAAGGGATACTTACTCCATCATTACAAACATAAGTAAATGACAAACATACATGTACGTGTATGTGTACTTACTGTACTACATGCATGCAATACTGTGTTATGTACATGAAATACCGTATTGTGTACATGTACATGTTTCCTACATACACATGTAAATTAATCTAATAAAAATTAGAAGGGGAAATGTCCCGGCAAAGAAGGGAGAGAGAGAGAGGGAGGGAGGGA